GTTTGGGTGGGGGGGGGGGGCGGTATGTCTACTGCAAGGCGGTATGTCTACTGCAATGTTCCTGCTGTGGTTACAGCAAATGCATACTAAGCTCAGCTGACAAGCCATGACGGACAGTGTTTGCGTGGCCAGACATTGCAGCCTCAGCAGCAGGGGAAGCACATGACAAAAAGTGGGTGAGCTGAGTACTGCTGAGGAACTACCGGTCTGCCAGCTGGGAGGAAAAACGAGGAGGAAGGAAGTGGAAACATGAAGGCAGTGCGAGTCACTTGTGTGGCCTTTGAGGGAAGGCATGAGAGATAGGCAGGCAAAATAAGTTTCATGTGGGTAACAGATGGGAATTAAAGTGTGGTAGATAATGTAAATAGTAATTCTTTTTTTTTTACACCAAATTGATAAACAAATGGATTAAACACTGTACTTAACTGTGAATATTGGGAAAACTAAAGCACATAAAATTCAAATGTGTTGCTAGATACTGTAGATATTGGGGTGGCATGGCTCAGTGGTGTCGTCCTTTCCCAGCCCAGAGATTGCGGATTCTACCCCAGCTCTTCCAAACATGTCGAAATTTCCTTGAGCAAGATGCTGACTACACACCATTAATGGCATGTCTAAATTCAGAAGTAAAGACATTGATAACAATAAAGATAGTGTGATATTGTGCTGGAGTGAATTGGAATGTGTCAATATTTGTAATGGTATTTGTGTTTATGTAATGTTATTTTAATTGTGATTTAACAAAGCTGTTTTTTAAATAAAATCTGTAATCTACATGCCCCAGTACAATATACTAAAACATTGTGACGATGTTAGTTTCCGTTGGAGCATGTTGTTTTAATGACGTCTAGCCCTCAGCCAAACGTCATTCGACAGCAAACCACATACGTGATAACCTAAAACGGGCTTGGTTAAAAACAAGACGTGACGTCCATATTAGGACTGACAGGTAAAGTCTAGCCCTCAACCAAACGTCATTCGACAGCAAAACCACATACGAGATACTGTAACCTCACACGGGCTTGGTTAAAAACAAGACGTGACGTCCATATTAGGACTGACAGGTAAAGCCATATTTGGAAGTTCCGCCTACAAGTGCCGTCTCTGAATGGAAAACAAGGCGGGGCTTTCACTTTGTTATTAAGTGAAAATCGTTTGAAGTCACTCACTGGAAACTAGGGAACAAATGCTGTGATTGACTGCCTTTAGTTACCGCAGCGACGACTTTTCATAGATTTTTATAACAGTCGACTTAATTTACCTTTTCCGACCATGACGACAGCCGGCGAGCCCTTGGAAATCAACAGCCACGAGTTGGTTCACCTCCTTAGGGAGCGCACCTCCACCAGCTGCGTGGTCCTGGACTGCAGACCCTTCTTGGACTTTTCCCTGGCGCACGTCAGTGAGTCCCGCAACGTCAACTGGAACTCGATGCTGCGACGCAGGTCTAAGGGCGCCGAGGTGGCCCTGGACTGGCTCATCCCGGACAAGGAGCTGCTGGGGAGGCTGCGGCGCGGGGAGCTCAGCCCACCGGCGTCGGTGGTCGTGGTAGTGATGGATGAGGCCAGCCGCTCCGTGGACGAGCTCAAGGCGGAAAGCGTGGCTCACATGCTGCTCGCGGCCCTGCGAAACGAACTCAGCACGCAAATTTACTTCCTGCAAGGTGACAAGAATATTACTTGGAAATGAGCAGTTCACAGACTGCTGTTGGCTCAACGATTTATAAATGATGTAATTATTGGGACGCTCAAATAAATCCAAGTACTTCATTTTCTAAGAACAAAAGGTTTGTATTACAGCAGTACTCATAAACATTTTACACCATGTAGTGATGATTATAATAATAATAATAATAATAATAATAATAATAATAATGATAAACTGGCTCAAAGATTAAATGTAAATTTTGTGTAGTACTTCAAAGTTAAATACAACTGAATTATAGTTAACATGTGTATTCGAAGGGATGAAAAAAAGTGTAAAACACAGTATCATTATGCACAGTTTGAAAATTACCAATCTGGTTTCCGTATATATCTGAAAATGTAACTACTTATCTCATGAAAACGAAGCAGTCTAAATTTAGATTAATTTGGAATGCATTGTACTCAAACTGAACTGTGGTAAACAAATGTACTGTGCTAGATTGACTTTCACACACCACTAGAGAGACACACTTTGAGATCAATTGTATGACAGAAATTCCTAAAGTAAATATTTCATTCAAAAGAACAAAAAGCGTTTTTTTCAGTATGCAGCCCAACCTTGATTTAGAGAATCCCTTTCCTCCAAAAAAGGCTAATTTGTTTTTGTAACATGATTTTTTTTTTCTAAAAAGCTGACATTTTAATTTCTATGGCATTTAGGTCCTGGATGCCAAAAGTTTTGAGTATCCCTGTTTTTTTTTTAATCACAATCCCTTCCAGAGGATTTCAAACTGTAACCTCCTTTTTAGGTGGATTTCAAGCATTTTCAGAGGCCTGCCCAGAGCTATGTTACAGCAAAACACTCACCGCAGTTGAACCAGAGCCACCAATCAGCTTGGGCCGGAAGACACCTGCATACGATCAGGTGAGATAGCATATAATAAGGGGTGGGGGGGGGGGGGACATTATCCAGCCGAGTTGTGAACATCCATCCATCCATCCATTTTCTGATCCGCTTATCCTCACAAGGGTCGCGGGGGGGCGCTGGAGCCAATCCCAGCTGTCTTCGGGGCAGTTGGTGGGGTACACCCTGAAATGGTTGCCAGCCAATCATAGGACACACTTAGACGAACAACCATTTGCAGTCACACTCACACCTAAGGACAATTTAGAGTGTTCCACTGACCTGCCATGCATGTTATTGGAATGTGGGAGGGAACCGGAGTACCCGTAGAAAACCCACGCAGGCACGGGGAGAACATGCAAACTCCACACAGGAAGGCCAGAGCCGGAATTGAACCCTGTACCTCCGCACTGTGAGGCGGACGGACTAACGAGTCGATCACCGTGCCGCCCAGTTGTGAACATATATTTTTTTTAATTGCAGGACGGCCCAGTAGAGCTGTTGCCCTTCTTGTTTTTGGGCAGCGCCATACACGCGTCCCGCCAGGAGACCCTCGCATCAGCCGGCATCACAGCCGTGCTCAATGTGTCATCCTCATGTCCCAACTTCTTCGAGGGGGAGTTTCAGTACCTGCGCCTTACCGTGGAGGATAACCTGGCCGCGGACATCCGAGCCTGCTTCTCAACAGCCATCGCCTTTATTGGTTAGTAGCAAAGGGGAGCTTCTTCTTCAAAATCCGCTCAGCCATTTTGGTCAATATTTGCTTACTGAATTGTGCGCTCAAAACAAACAGGCAGACAGATTAGTGTGTTAGATATACAAGCAGTGGGGAATTTAAACTTTCACACTGACCTTGAATATAGCAAAATAAAAAAACACACTTGAGGGTTCAATGAAAATGTATTGTAAATAAAAGTGAAGTGAAATTTTGACAAATAAACCACCGGTGGCTTAGAAAAATGCATATGTTTGCAAATGTTGCCCAACAGCAGATGGGATTGTTTTTTTAGTATTTTTATAAGCACAGTCTACTAGCTGAACCCTCTACTATCCATTTTTCCTCAAGTGACGAATGCCTGTGGATGGGGGGAAAAAAAAAATCACATTTGAAAAATACCCGTTCATAACTTTCTCTTTGCGTTTACTGCAGAATTTCAGTTAAAAAAAAAAAAATTGTGCCCACCCACAGATGCTGTGAAGCAGAGCGGGGGCCGTGTGCTGGTGCACTGCCAGGCAGGCATCTCTCGCTCGGCCACCATCTGCCTGGCCTACCTCATGCACACTCGGCGAGTTCGTCTGGATGAGGCCTTCGACTTTGTGAAGCAGCGGCGTCAGGTCATTTCCCCTAACCTGGCTTTCCTGGGACAGCTGCTGCAGTTTGAGACGGACGTGCTGTGTCAGGGCTGACGTCATACGAGTCATAGAGTATATCAGATATGAAAGGCGTATCAAAAAAGTCCCAGGACTGCTAAAAAAATCTAATTGAAACTACAAGTTTTTCCCTTGGAAAATAATCACTTTGGAGTCATTTCCAGGAAGTGCCAGGAAGTGTAGGATGCTCAGGGTGGGTGAAGTAGCCTCAATTCATCTTGCTCTAACGCCCTCCCCATCTCATGCACTGAATGAAGCAAAGACTGCAATATCTACAAGGTATTTGTATGCCCACAGTGAAGGGGAAAACTTACAGTTTGTAGTTCAGGTTTGAAATCTATCTGAAACCAATGCCTGAACTTTTCTGACTCCCTACATCTATTTTTCTGCTGTTGGTGTAGAGCATGTTCGATGCAGTGGTGCTGGCGTCACTGCATAATCATATGAGACAACACTGTGTTGGCAAAGATTCACGTACACAATCTTTTTCATGTATTTCTACTGGATATGATAGGACAGTTTTTTTGACATGCCTGTCAGTAAATGCACTTTGTTCATGCAGAAAATGGCTGCTGATCATTTTTTAGTCCGAAAAACTGTGCTGGAGAACACATTCAGTCTTGTTTTTATTTGATGCATCGAATTTAAATAACAGTTGGCACTGTGAATACTGACTGACTGACTACATTTATGACATTCTAATAACAGGATTTTAAAATACTTTTTTGTACTTCTTGTGACTTGCTCATTTTTTATGGACGGAAGATACATTACATGTGGGGTGGGAGTAACTCATTGGTAGATACTTGGGCTTTAGGACCAAGGGTCATGGTCTAGGTACTGGACAAATAAATAACAACACAATATGGGCAGTGGTACCAATGAACAAAGTACTTTGTTACTGTACTTCATCTTATTTTTCAGGTATTTGTATTTAACTTGAGTATTTTATTTTTTTTACCTTTGCTCCCGACAGTTGAAAACAGCTACTGTACCTGTATGTTCTACTCCTTACTTTGTCAAAATATGCTGATTAATTTCATACATTTGCAGATGTTGACAAAAAAACAACCCCAAAAAGATTATCATAGAGAGGTAAAGTCAACTGCAACTGAAATCTTGATTGACTGGTTGAGACCTAGGGAGAAGAAAGATATTACCACACATTGGCCTTATTTAGAATCATTTGATTTTATCTGCTATCTCGGATGATATAAATTCAATCATTTCAATGCTTTCGTTTCCACACAACGTCCAAATAACCTTTACATAAATTGCACATGACAACCAATTTTGAATCTCTTAATCGCTATTAACGTTACAAAGGACAGGCTGGGATGCTGATTATGTCTAACAAGTAGAAAACTAATGTGATGTTCATATTAGTTTAAAGCTAAATAGCGACCTCTCGTGGTTGTACTGTAGTTTTAAACTCTTCTACAGTAATCCAGCAGATGTCCCCATCACACTGTTGATGAAACATGGTACTGTACCTACCTGAACTAAAACTAAATTGAAATGACGTTCATGCGAAATAAAGGCAACCACATTGCCCCATCTGCACATCTGAATAAGCAATTTCACGTTGCCCTTCATTTGTTTAGAATAAGGTCACGCTCACCTTCCTTTTCATTTGAGGGCGCATTAAATTTCTTCTGGGTCAGCCAGGCTATTAATGATACTAATAATAATAATTTAAAACGTATGTGATCCAATACGAAGGTAAAAAAATAACTGTTAACTATTTCAACTGTTAACTATTTCAAAACAGACACTTCCTATTTACATTCACTGGCAGCCCGACACGCACACACGGTTAGCAAAGTTCATCAGTGTTGATGGTTCAAACCCCGTTGTGGGAGTCGTCGTTGTGTCTGCATGACCCATAGTCAGAATTTCATGAAACAAAAAAACCTTCCTCAAAACACCCCATAATACAGGCAGGAATAAGTTTAAGTACAAAAAAAGCAAGGTTTTGATTTAAAAAAAAAAAAGAAAAACTTCAGTCGCTGATGGTGTAGTGGTACACTCGTCCGACTTGGGTACGGGCAGCGTGGGATCGGTTCCCACTCAGTGACGGTGTGCATGTGACTTTGTTGTTTGTCTCTGAAGGTGTCCTGCGACTGACTGGCGACCAGTTCAGGGTGTAGTGCGCCTTCCGCCCGAAGTCAGCTGGGATAGGCTCCAGCGACTCCCCGCGATCCTGTTCAGGATAAGCAGTGTTGAAAATGGATGGATGGCAGGTATCAAAAGCTTCCCCTAGATGTGGGTGTGGCCAAAGAGTGACCAGGTGATTTTGGCCACCACGTAGCCCCGCCCTTGTGTACACACACAGAGACGGTGTGCCACGGTGCATCATCTCTCCTAATACTTTAACGGGGGGGGGGCTTAACAGTGGGGTGACACTTCCCCAAATGAACGTCAATGTTGAACAGGCTTTTTACATGACAGAAAAACATTAGAGGTAGCACATTGTTTTGCTACCCCGTGTAGCTACACAGGAAGTGCCATTGCACACTGCTCAAGGAGTGTAAATGATTTTTTTCCACGCCGCATCCCCATGGTCAAATGCTTTGTCCTGTCAACTTTGAGGGAATGATGCTGCACACAATAGCAGCAAACTGAATCAAAGCAACAACTCAACAAAGATCCCAATCAAATGCTCTGTACGTGTGCATCATATTTGCCCTTCAGTGTGTTAGGATGAAAATGAACAACTTCACCGAGAAACTTCAGCACATTTTTCCTATGAATTTATTTTACTTTTCCGACAATGTATAAAAGCGTTCCCGTTGGATGTGCAGAAAGCATACTCTCCATGATGCATGAGAGTTCATGCATTTGTGGCCTTATACAACAGGCCCTTGAACTGCGTTGTATTGCGCACTGATGTGAGATGCTGGCGTCAGCGGCACACCCCTCTCTCTGCCCCTCTGTGCACAACACATTTTGCCGCTAACGGCAAATCCACCCATGAGAAGCAGACACACTGCTTGATTGGAGAGCACTCCAGTGCTTAAAAGCTTTATTTTGTTTCCCTTTATATTTAGACTATGTAGCGCGGATGGGAGCAAAATGTATCACCATTATAGGTGCCTGCTTCAAGCTGTAATTCCACAGGAGGACTCCTCTTTAATTAAATGAATAATGTGTGCGCGGCGGGCGCTTTACCAAACAAACAGGACCTCCTACCCACGGACCATTCATGAGGCCATGTGTTTGGATGCGTAGGCTGCCGAGTGTGTGCGTGCGTGTGTGTTTATGTCACGGAGGCCACCTACCCACTCTGGAACGGCACAACACAAACCCCGGCGCTGTTTCATTTTAGGGGCATGACGCAAGCAGACTATGCAATCAGGTACTTGACCTCGGCAAGAGCAGCACGCCACGAGGGGGGCATGAGAATTTTTTTACATGGGGAGGAACGTGGTGCAGGGTGCATAATGCAGAGGAATTCAAATGGAAGTCAAGTCATGATGAAAATGCATGAGTACAGAGAGCTACAAGGGCCTTACATGCTTCCGCGTTTGCAGCGATAAAAGGTTGGAGGTAACACGGCTCAATTACCTACATTGTTCTGCACTGAAATGGGGGAGTCAAATCGTGCACCTTATATTACAGTTTGCCCTAAAAATCCCCCATTGGCTTAATTATTCAATTCCAAGGTAACTCTTTCACTTTTCCAACAGTCAAAAGGGCAATAATATGTTCCCGAGCTGAAAAAGGCGAATGCTTTTGAGGGTACCACTGCAGTGATAATTGTTTCAAATATGGATCCCCTGTGGGCCATAATACAATATGAAAAAAATTGGGACAGGGAAAAATCTAAAATATTGAAAAATATTGATACAATGAAAGAAAGAAAAATGAGAATCTGTGGTACCGACTTTTAAGTTGTAATATCATCAATCGTCACTAGATGGCAGAAATGCATTAGTTGTGATTACACCCAGGTCTGATACTGCCTGATACTACAAAGTAAATAGGACTAATATTTTTTTTTTCCAGGACAAACATAGTACCTCAAAAATATTATCATTTTGAGTGAGTTGACTTTTATTTTAAAAAATGCCCAAATTGAGTTCTTGCACTTAATATTGGTTTCTTGTTCAGCAATTTTGTGCCATCTTTGAATGACTGTTTTTAGTTTGCACTGAAAAAAAAAATACATGATGTGTTTTTTTGTTCTTTACTTCAATCCCTTTGTTGTTGTGTAAGGAGAGTCGATCATAAACATGCAAATAAAAATATTGATAATAATGAAAATAATGCAACTAAACTTTCCTTGATTTTTTTTTTGCGCTGATTCCAAAATTCCCCTTGTTTTTCTCTAGAACACACACACACACACACACACACACACGCACATTTATATATCTACATTTCTAGATATAGATAGATATAGATAGATAGATATAGATATAGATATCATTTATTTATTTATTTAACAAGGGAGTAAACAGCATCAATATGTAACAGCTCAATTTCAATCTCTGCGTGTTTATATTGTCAAATGGTCACTTCTACAAGTTCTTAGCGAATCAAAATGTCTTATTATATGTGAGCTATTTTTAGAAAAAGCCCACAGGACCACTTACATGATGATCCTTGTGTGCTACCTGGTGCCTGCAGGTGACCCCTGACAAAAGGGCTAAGATTCTGTTCTCAAGTAACGGAGTGGAATAAATCTGTTTCACAACGTATACATGATGACTGTCAGTGTGATTACTTTGTCAAATATTGTTTTTAACCCCATATACTGTAGTTCACTGAAAGGGTCGTTCTTCAGAAAGGAGACTTTCTTTTGCTCCGAAGGTTGTGAAGGTTGTTAAGTTATGACTTTGCATCACAAGAATGCAATAAAAAGACTATTCATGAGAAATCACATGGAATAGTGCCCGGAGTCCTCAAATGTACAGGAAATGTGTATCTCTGAAAATACAGCGTACACTGAAAAAAATGCTGTGTTGAATCTATTCAATTTTCTTGCGTCTGGTGGTTGCACACAATAAAATCATCTGGATCCAGATAAATTGTTTTACGTAGAGGTATCGTCTACTTGATGAAATAAAATTGAGTACCGGTACATTCAACAGACCATTTTTTTCAGTGTAAAGAATAGGCCCCCTCCTTGATTGCTAGTAGATATGTAGTGGACCAAAATGGTTGAAAAGGGAATACAGCAAAGTGATAAAAACACATTGTTCCAACAGGACCTTTCATAAGCTTATCTGCGCAACGAAGACGAAGTTCAGTTGCTTCAAAAGAACAAACCCCTGAAGTGCTACTTTCTGGAAAAAGGGGATGTACTCGCTCTCAACAGACTTGGAGGCAACAGGAGAGAGCGAGATGAATGGATACTTGCTCAACAATAAGTAATAGATTATTGGTATTAAATAGATTTGGACTTACTTTTCTACTTACATAAATGCTGAAATAATTATAAGTATTACCGGTACTTATATTTAGCTTGGTAATGTTGGTGTTAGCGTAGACATGGACATAGCAATTCCATATACACTGATCAATGCTCATACGTCTTTCATATTTCCCTGCAATGTTATCACTTGCTTAAACGTACTTTATTTTTGACGGGGTCAACAGCATCCATTAACAGCTAATTGGCCTAAATGTCCTTTTCAATGGTCTCTGTGTGAAGTTTTGTGTGTGTGGGGGGGGGGTGGTGGGTGGGGGGATACAGTATCATCAGGGAACGAGTCAGGATCCCGTGACGCCCACAGCTCCACGGTGACGTCAGCGCCTCTAAAAAGACGCGCAAGAGGGAGCGAGAGAGATGGGAGGCAACCGGGCTCAGATCCACTTCTCGAGTGAAGATGCGCCTCAGAAATTGACGACGCGCGCCACAGGAGCCGCTCCATCGTGGAGTGAACTCGCGCTGGGTGTGGGAGGAAAAAGAAGAGGAGTGATGGGGACTAATTTGTATGACCTTTTGGTGGGATTTCACCAGTGATATTTGCGCATTTTGCGATTTCAGGCGCACGACTAGAAATCAAGTTCATGGACTAACTGGAAAACACTCATTCCTTTCTGCGCTTTTATTAGCGTGATCGTGTAAATAGTATAATGTTTCAGCTTTGTTTAGTTTTTCTTAAGTGTTGAGCTACCAAAAGAGTCTGCAACAAGGGCGCACGGAGATAATGTCACCATCACTTCAATTTTTTTGGTCTGAGAGTTGACTACCAGTACATATTTAATCAACTAAGTTAAATATTTTATGAGCTGGAGAAGTTTTACTTGCACGGGAGGGAGAAACGGTACGATGTGTGGGGGAGACAATCGGGATTTTATGGGTTCGGGGCTTTTTTAATTAAAAGGCGTTGATCCGTGTCCTGACGCAACAAGACCCACGCACGTTTTGTGATCTCACAATGGACTCGGAAGCCCCGTCGTGGAGGATGCGAGGGAGCTAACATTTGGAGATAAACAAGAGACGACAACAACAGAGGTAAACATTAACAGATTGCAATTGAAAATGCGAGTCAGCCAGGCAGAAACAGCTTTTACCCAATGAAAAGCATTCACCTCCAAAAAGTTATCCCCTGAATTTATCCTTTTAAAAACGTAGTATTAAGAAAGAGACATTAGTCACTGCTGAATAAAAATCGTGTGTCTTCAAGCATTATTTCTAATAGCATTTAGAAAAAAATATTAACAAGTAATTTGTAGTGTTAAAGAAGAGACATTAGTCATGGTTAGGGAAAAAAAAGCATTTGTATTTATTTGTATTAAATATAGAGCCTTGTTTTCATTGGCCAGCACTGATAGGCCAAAGGAGTCGTCTTAAATTCAAATGGGTGATGTATTTTTGTCCACAGAGACTCCAGGAGAAGAGACCGAAGGATGGCCTCTGCTCCGGAGGGCGGCTGCTCCCTGGAGCTTAGCAACTGGAACGCAAGCGGTGCCTCCATCCCCTGCAACCAGAGCGTCCTGAAACTGGCACCGTACTCGCCCGAAGCCACGGCGGCCTTTGCCACCGCCATAACCCTGATGGTGGTCTTCACCATTGTGGGGAACATCATGGTGATCATCGCCGTGCTGACCAGCCACTCCCTGCGAGGGCCGCAGAACCTTTTCCTCGTGTCACTGGCCGCGGCTGACATCTTGGTGGCCACGCTCATTATCCCCTTCTCTCTGGCCAATGAACTTCTGGGCTACTGGTACTTCAAGTCCCTGTGGTGTGAGATCTACTTGGCCCTGGATGTGCTCTTCTGCACCTCCTCCATTGTGCACCTGTGCGCTATCTCTCTGGACCGCTACCTGTCCATTTCCAGAGTCACCTACGGTCGCCAGCGGACTCCAAAACGCATCAAAGCTGCCATCGTGGTTGTGTGGCTCATTTCCTCCATCATCTCTTTCCCTCCGCTGCTGTCCCTCAACAAGACCGAGGTGGGCGACCTCACGAGTGAGAGGGGACCTCAGTGCGAGCTCAACGACGAGAAATGGTACATTCTTTACTCCACCATCGGCTCCTTCTTCGCCCCATGCCTCATCATGATCCTGGTTTATGTAAGAATCTACCAAATCGCCAAGCAGAGAACACGGTGCCCCCCGGGGGAGCCCCGTAAGGACGGAGTCGGCGCCGCCATGCCGAGTCAGCCCAAGCAGCAACTCCAAGCCAACGGTAGGGATGATGGTGAAAAAACATCTTCCCCCAAGAAAACATCCAACGCCAGACCCCCCACCCTCGCCATTACCCCGTCTCCTTCAGGGGGGCAGGAGGAACCAAATCAGGATCCCAACCCCAATAATCTGCAACCTCCACCTCCAACTCCAGCTCTGAGCCCAGTCACCAGCTCCGTAGACACCTCTGTGCATGCGGCCCCTGCCGTCCCTTCTGCGCCGCAACTGGCCCCAACCAAGCTTAAAGCGGGAGGAAACAAGTTCAAGCGGCAAACGAAAACCAAATCGGACAACAACAACGGTGACAGCTCCAGCACGGACAGCGAGGCCAGCAACGGAGGGCGCCGCGGCAGCGCCAGTATGCCGGGGTCCCCCGCAGGAGTGAGCATCCACTCCGCGGGTTCCATCAAGCGCTACAGGAACATGATCACCACTTCAAAGGGGTCGCGGCTGGTGCCGGGGAGGAAGTCCAAAATCGATAACAACCCCGGGGCGGCTCGGCGCAAAGCGATGGTCAACCGAGAGAAACGCTTCACCTTTGTCCTGGCCGTGGTCATCGGCGTCTTCGTGGTGTGCTGGTTCCCGTTTTTCTTCTCCTACTCTCTCAAGGCGGTATGCCCCATAACATGCGCCATCCCCGACCCACTCTTTAAGTTCTTCTTCTGGATTGGTTACTGCAACTCTTGTCTCAACCCGGTCATCTACACCATCTTCAACAAAGACTTCAGGAAGGCTTTCAAAAAGATTCTCTGCCAAAGTACCAAGGGTACTTTCTTTTAGCCCACAAAGTCTACGACTTGGCAACCATATTTGGAAACAAATGAAGCAGATAACACAGACATCTTTCAAAGGGCTGTATTATTAATTTTATGAGCCATGGACGTAAAAATTCCAAATTTCTTCAACACAGCCATTACTTAGCATTTTGGACTATGACATCTTGATTTGGAGACAATGGAGGTCTTTGACAGGATAGGTAAAGTCCAGACATGACTGTAGATGACACAGATAATATTGTGGACCAAAGCAAAACAAATTTACCAATTGACCACATTACACTGACTGAATGCTGGGAACACAGGGGCAAAAATCATGGCGGACACGCCAGATAAGGACGGCTGGGCTGGTCCACACACCAGGCATACAGTATGTGAAATGTGTGTAGGTGTGCATATATATATATATATATATATATATTATATATATATATATATAAATCTCTCTCTCTCACTCTCTACTAACTGTGAGGCAGGCAGGCTATTGAGGAAGGTAAACTGGTAAGCATGAAGAGGACTGACCTTAGATTCAATCAAGCCTGGGGCCCTTTTGTTTGTCAGCACAGAGCACAAGGAACACACAAGGTTAACGGCGATTTCTTGCAGTCTTAATCTGTCCGGCTGCAGGGCAAACATGTGTTCCCTGATTCCTATCCAAAAGAGCAACAACAAGAGGCATCGGAAGATCGAAAATGCGTAGATGGGTCCTTTTCAAATTAAAGGAACAGCAAGACGGTGGCTGGATACATGTCAGATGCCTTGGCTCTCAGCTGCCTGCGGGTCATTGTGGACACTCAGGTTGTGTGTGTGTGTGTGTGTGTGTGTGTGTGTATGTGTGTGTCTTTTGTCTTTAATTCAATTTTTGCATTTTCACGAGAGTCACGAGAGAAATATATACCACTAAAGCAATGAGCTTATCTGCTTTTCATGGACCAAGTGGAGCAATCTTGTTAACAAATAAGCCTCTCTAACGAGGTTATTCACACCATGACATGGGAGGTTCATACGCTGATTTATGTGCATTTCTTTTCAGCTTCTGCAGGCCATCAGTGATAAGTGAACGGGTACACACTGGAACAAATGATTAAGAGGACAGACACACAATGAACTGAGGTACATCACCCCACAACTAAGACTACTTGGGTGATTCGAAACCCCGTTTGCCTGAGTCACTCATTTCACCTGCTGTGAAGCGGTAAATACTTTTGTTTTCGTGAGGCCGCACGTTACCCCACGCTCGCTCTCATTTTTTTATGAAGAGGAGGTTTCGCTGTTTCTTTGACAAAATACATGTGTTTTATAGAGCACGCTGGCTTATTGACTCAATGGGACAAGGGCTGTCAGCGAGACGTTGTCGAATTCCGCTGACCTGTGTGTGTGTGTGTGTGTGTGTGTCTAAGTGTTTTCTCTCCTGATCTACAATTGTGAAGCATAGAGACACTGTGCTTGTCATGTGACTCCTTCTTCTGTATTTGTGAATATCAGACGAAGGTCAGACTATTGAGAGAGATATTTTAAAGTGTGCGTTTGATTGCATATTGACATGGCATCTTCCCTCTGACCACCCCGAAGGGATTTCAGTCTGTCACAGTGATATATGGCTCCCATGTTTTTTACCTAAGTCATATTTTCAGTGTGCGTGTGTGTGTGTGTGTTTGTGGGTGTGTGTGTCTTTGTGTGTGATGGGAGGTAACGATATAAGACTGTACTATTTATTTCAAACTACTGGGTCTTTTTTCTCTATTTATTGTTCCATTGAAGTGCTTTTGTTCTGAGGATCAAACAATATCATATGGCTCAGAGGGTAAAAATATTGTATTACTTCTCAACACGAGCCTTATCGATTTCAAACATTAAACTGTGGCTTTTGTGTGATGGTGTCAGAGTACATGTAAAAACTATGGACCGCCACATGCATAAAATGCCCCATTCATGAGCATCTATGTTCATTTTTAATAGAGATAAGCACATTTGTCCGAAATAGGTGCAAAAAAATGAAATAAATCAGCAACAGCAACTGTTGCTTTATGAGGATTTCTAATCCCAAAACTTTGATGAAAATCACCCGGAACAAGAGCTGTGTCCAATTAAACATTTGTGAGTTGTAATCTTTCCAAAACTCAAATAACTGTTGAGATCATACCTTCATGGCTGCTTGTGTATAAAAAGGAGTCGCCGCACACCTGCTCCATTCTTTGCTTTTTGTGGTGAAGTTGCTGCTTTTCTTAGTTCAAGAAAATAAAAAGACATAAGAATTATGGCTTGAGGGAGACAGGTGCAATAATCCGAATCCTTTTTGCTGGAAAGCGCCTGTTGTGTTCCCCCCCGCTGTGTTCGGACCAAAATGCATGGTCGGCGCTTTGGAACTGTCAATCCTCCATCTGTGATCTTCCCCACCCATCCTCCAGTTTAAAAATAAAGTTATTCAGAAAAAGCACAAGGCATTCTCTGGTGTCTTTTATACATTTATTTTGAACATGACTCAAGTGAACTTGACTTTATTTATAGAACCCTTTAAAACAACCACAGTTGCGTGCAAAGTGCTGTACATAAAGTAAACATGAGGTCTATAAAACCGAAGACATTTAAAACAATAAATTAATAAAATAAAACTAAACATAATAAAACACCAAAACAATGGAGTCTAACGCTGAGTTGAACACTAGTATATAGGACAGTATGTAGGAACCGGAGCAGGAGGGATACTGTTTGTTTGCCTCACTTTTTTGCCTCGTTGTCAACACAAAAACAACCCAATGATTATAAACTTTTTAGAGGTTAAATAATCAACTATTTTTAAAGCAGATGTCCTCATTTGGGTGAGCTGGAGCTTAGATCAGATGACTTTGGGCAAGAGGTGGGTGTACACTCTGAACTGGTTGGCAATCATTCGCAGGGCACATACAGACAACTTCACATTCACATTCACACTCGCACATCTATAGAAGTTCGTCTTTGATGTAAGGTGGAAGGAAACTGGAGAAACAAGAGAAACCCCAAAGCACAAGGACATGCAAATGCCAAACAGGCAAGCCCATGCAGAGATTCAAACCCGGAAGTGTTGGGCCAAGATGTGCTAGCGACGATGACAACATGCCGCCTGATGAATAATGCATTGTTTATTAACATCGTGAGGACTTCTTATTGACATTTTACTCATTTTTGGAGTAAATAATACATGAGTCTTAATGACAAAATTCATGCATATGCACAAAACAGCTCAGAGTGCCGATCCAAATTAATATTGTTTGGCCATTGCAGAGCTCTGCGCTCCACTGAGTGCCGGTGTATTTGACTCACATTTCATTTCAGTTTCTCATTTTGTTACATACTGTACATTAGAACAACAACATTAAAGATTATTTTTAAGACAATACAAATAGTTTACATTTGGCAAATATTTAACATCATAACAAAAAAACAAAACCAAAAAAAAAGATACACATTCAATCTGAATAAATCATCCATCCATTGTCCTTGTTCGGGTCATAGGTGAGCCGGTGCCTCACCCAGCTGATTTTGTGGCCTGTAATTGGCTGGCAACCGGTTCGGGGTATACCCCGCCTACTGCCCAAAGTCAGCTGGGATAGGCTCCAGCATGTCGGTGACCCTTGTGAGGATAAAGCGGTTCAGATAGTGGATGGATGGATAGATGGATGATACTATATTTGTGATATTCGTTTGCTCATAAAATATAATCTCAATAATATTAATTTATTTAATGCAAAAATTTAATTGTGTATCAAATCTTGGGTCAGGAATTGAGATACAGATCTTAACTTTGGTATCGTTATCGTGTGAGAAAATGGGTTATGGTCCGATGAACATTTTGGCCACAATTCCAAAATGTATATTTGGCACAAACACAAGACTGATGATCACCAAAGGAACACGTTAAAGCGTGGTGGGGGCAGCATCGTGGTTTCGGGTCGTTCTTCTTCAGCCGAAACTGCAGCTTTAAACAAGGTGGAGGGAATTATGAACCGTTCCAAATACCTGTCAGTATTCACACAACACCTTGAAGCTTCTGCTAGCGAGCAAAATGTCACAAAAAGCCTAATAGAATGGTCTAACTTCATTTAGAATTAATCAGAGGCACTTTAAATGGGGGCTGGTGTGCGTTTACTCTTGTTTAACATGAGTTTGAATGTGATTGAGTAATTTTATAAAATGGCCAGTTATAAAAGGTTGTGCACTTTTGTGCAACTAAATTACACTATCTTAGTTATTTTTACTTCCTCTGTTGAAAAGATTTTATTTTATAAATTTGTCCAGGTTGTAGGTCATAATGGTTAGAAAAGTTTTTAAATTATTTATTTTGGTCTCATTTTCACACTCAAATGACAAGCATTTCAAATAGGGGTGTGTCGACTTTTTATATTCTACAATGTATGTCATGATGGACAATTTGGGGATTTGTCATTGTACTGTCAGACAGGATTAAATCTGTCCTGCTTTCACCACCATTTACCCCCCCCCCACCCCCCACCCACATTTCCACTGGGCTCCCAAACCCACCCACACGCACACATTGGTGTATTGGCAGCCTTCACCTTCATTTGCATTATCACGGCTGTGGTGTGACTCGAGAATAAGAACACACAAGTTATCTTTGTTGGTTGTTTACAGTGTTGTATATTCATCTGGAAGCTGTGTCCCTGAGCTGCTTACTCTCTTGCCAGCACTGGCATATAAAACAGGGCAGGTGTGTGGCAGCGTAGCCTCTGGAGAGGATGGAGAGAACGTAGATGTTTAAAAAGCACTTGGGCTTTGTATAGTCTGTGATCATTTTTGTTTTGTTTTGTTTTGTTTGAAGCCAGTGCAATTATATTTACAATAGCTCTTCAGAGCCTCTCATTGGTTACGCATGAGAGGACATAAATACTTGTTTATTGTAAATGCCCAGTGTTGGTATCTGTACTCGCCATCGGCAACAATTGTTCTCGCTTGGCTTATGATCTCAAAAGCTCATATGCTGTAAGTTTACAATCCAACATTTGGATGCAGTAATGCATGTTGGAACCCCTGAAGGCTCCGCAAATCTTTATACTTTGCCTCGACAAGTCATTCACCACCTTTGTCCTATCTTCAGTGTGTCTCCCACTACTCCTGCAATGGCATGTTTTTTTTCCCAGCAGCATACGTATCGTAGAACGCAATCACTTTTGTGACGTTGGTTGACTTGCAAGTTCTAATTTCAAAAGGTGTTTTTCCGTTGGAAACACTGTGAAGTGGCAAGTGGTATACTAGTGATTAGATAAGGAATGGGTGAATGGAGCCCCTTAATTAATTTTGGAAAAAAATAATACAGAATGTTTTTTTGATGTTTGTATGTATTAATGTTTTACAAACTCCCCCCAAAAATCTTCAAAAAGTGCTGTTTTGAAAAACGGGGTAAAATGGGAAAAAAAAATCCTGGAAAAAAAAATGTTAAAAATTTGACAAAATATTGAAAAAAAAAGGAAAAAAATCTGCGAATATGCAGGGTTTGACTGAGTTTTAAGTTGTAATATCATCGCTCAGCATTATATGGCAGAAATGACTTAAGTGAGCTTACAGTGGGTCTTAAACTGTCCTATTCTACAACATGAATAGGCCTAGTATTATTTTTCAAGATTTGGAATGATAAACAAGACGATCAAGTTACCTCAACATTATCAACATTTTGAGTGAATATATTTTTGTGAAAACAATTACAAAATGAATTTTTGCACTTAATGTAGATTTCTTGTTCAGTAGTTTTGTGCCATCCCTAAATGGTAATTTTTCTGCAAGAGAGCTTTTTGCACAGGAAAAACAAAATACAGTATGTGGTTATTTTGTTGTTTTCTTCAACCTCTTTGTTTTTGGGCTTGGATAATGATGGAGCTTTTATACATGCACTGAAAAACGTATTATCAAAAAATGAAATATATTAAGAGCACGTATTTTGTCCATATTTAAAATGGCATTTTTGTCATATAGTAGATCTGGTTAGAAAGTGGTTGGTCTTATATGGCCCCCCAGTAGCACTGCAGAAAAAAATGTGCCGCCCCCCTCAAGCATTTAAGCTGTCCATCCCTGAGTTAGATCATCTACCTCCCAATTGAGAAGTTCTGCTTTCATATTTTGGCTCTGACCTTTTTGACAAGGATAATATTTGGCTCATTGAAGACTCTGAATTGTTTCATAGGTGTGAATTAGAGTGTGAAAGGTTGTCTATCCAGGGCAAAGCCATCGAATACAGTCTGGAAAAAAAACACACAAAAAGCCAACGAAGCTTGTGTGTCGAAGGTAATTCCAGATGCTCACTGAACTGAAGGATCAATGTAGTGATGTGCCGATTGACTCCTGGCCTGTCGGTCTTGATGATGAGACCTGTCACAGTAGCGCAGTATTAGATAAAGAAGAAGCTCATTTGCATAGAGGAAAACTCATTTGACATTCGAAATAAGTTTTGGCTCGATACTTGACAGCTTTGAATATTTGTGGAGAATACGATAATTGCCTGTCCGTAGGTGTCGCCTTTCATCATTTTACGAAATCTAATCAAATCTGTGGGAGGTGAGCCGCTGTGTAATGCCACACTTGTTCTGAAAGGTAAAGAATCCAACTGGAGACAAAAAAAAAAAAAAAACACGAATAAGCAGGGGTTTCCATGACGAATGGGGAATAAGTCTTCTGTGTGTTAGGGTGAGTAATTTCTCCTTACACTGAACAATGCGTCACAACTACACTTTCGGCATTGAAGTTAAGACTGACAGTTTTTGTCCCTAAGGCTGATTGTATTCATATGGTCCTGAAGTGTGAAACTGCGTTCTTGTTGCATGGTCGACATGGTGCTAATGGCTGTGCCATTAATCGAAATTCATTTACGATTACGATGGTTACACTCAACGATTACAAAATTGGCATAGTCTCAATATATAATGATGTATATTTGTTATGTTTTTGAGAAGTTGATAGATAGCTAGATAGCATGCTAGCTAGCGAGATATCCTGCTAGCTAGCTAGAT